GGAAAATTAGAAAATTAGAAAACTATCTGTTTTAAAAGGCTCTTGTAGTTGTTGGCTTTTATGGTAACAAACTGACTAAAATTGATTGAATTTGTTGTAATTGATGAGGTTTCACAAAGGGAGTTTCTTCATATGTTCTCCACCTACCACCTTCGTATTTGTCTTGGCTGGTGAACACTCATAGAAGATAGTTTTATTGATGACAGGGTCTCACTCTGTCACCCAGGCTGGAGTGCAATGGTGCCATCATGGCTTACTACAGCCTCAACCTCCTGGGCTCAACCAACCCTCCCACCTCAGCCTCCCAAGTAGCTGGGGCCACAAGCACACGCTTCCATACCTAGCTAACTTTTTTGATTTTTAGTAAAGATGAGGTCTTGCTATATTGCCCAAGCTAAAGGTTATTTATTTATTTATTTGTCTTAGAGACGGGGTCTCACTATGTTGCCTAGGCTGGTCTTAAACCCCTTGGGCTCCAGTGATCTTCCCGCTTACACCCCCCAAAGGACCGAGATTACCAGCATGAGTCACCATGCCCAGCTTTAATCCCCTAATTTTAAATTGGGGAAGTCAGCTAATTGAATGCACCAACACTGATTACATTCTGGAGTCTATTAAACTATAAAACTCCAATCAGGCATACTTGAGGCTTTAAACATTAACATTGATCAGTAATCTTTAATACACTTGGTTTCTCAGTGTTGAGATCTATTGTAGCAAAGTAAGATTGTATTACAATTGATCCATTCTTGTTCCTCTAAAGGAATTTGAGCCTGGATAATCTGGAGCAACTGCTCTTCCCATGAAAGACATAGCCTGTGAAATTGACTCATTATTTAGATTGCCCTTGAACCATGAAACATCTGGGGGGCATAAATGTTTTTCATAGACACTGGAAGCAGAGGAATGAAAGAGGATGTGAGTAGTGGGGGTTAAGTCGTATTATATAATAGTTCCAATATTTCATCACCAGGAAACCCTTTAAATATCTTCTCCCCATAGACAATGTGTTTTGAATGGCTCTACTTATCAAATATATTGCTCTCATTATATAATAATAACATTTCTATTAAAGGTATAATCCACATCATACCAAGTTGATTTAGAGGCAGCCAAATCAAGAATATTTTTGTTAACTTGTGTACATTTTTTAAATGATATGTAATGTCTAACGGGCTTTTAAAATATCAAAAACGCTGGCTGGATGTTGTGGCTCATGCCTGTAATTCCAGTACTTTGGGAGGCCAAAGCAGGCAGATTATTTGAGGCCAGGAGTTCGAGATCAGCCTGGCCATCATGGTGAAACCCTGTCTATACTGAAAATACAAAAATTAGGCATGATATGGTGCACACCTGTAATCCCAGCTAGTCAGGAGGCTGAGTCAAGAGAATCGCTTGAACCTGGGAAGCGGAGGTTGCAGTGAGCCAAGATTGTGCCACTGCACTCCAGCCTGGGTGACAGAGCAAGATTCCATTTCAAAAAAAAAACAACCAGAGTAAGAATAAGCGGCAACATTTCAAGGGGCTTAAAATTTTCTAGAAGTGACAAAAGACAATCTACAAATTCAATATACCCTACAAATTGCAATTAGGAAAAATAAGAAAAATCTCCATGAAGATGCACTATGGTAAAACCAAAAAAACCAACCGACAAATATCAGTAATCAGGAAAGAAAGAAAGGTACATGTGAAACTACCATAAAGACACAACCATCCAAATCTAAAATGTGGAAAATTCATAAGAATGTCCCATTTCTGGCCAGGTGCGGTGGCTCACGCCTGTAATCCCAGCACTTTGGGAGGCTGAGGCGGGTGGATCACGAGGTCAAGAGATGGAGACCATCCTGGTCAACACGGTGAAACCCCGTCTCTACTAAAAATACAAAAA